AAAAAGGGGCTCATTAAGATGACTGTAGGTTGACCTCAGAGGCAGACGGTGGTCGGGGATGCCCGCGCCCCTCCCGCCAGCCCCCGGCTTCACTGACGGTGCAGCACGGGGGTGGGGGCCCACTCGCCCTCCTGATGGAGCCCCACTGTGGCCACACGTCCGGCCCCGACACCAAGCCTTGGGGATGCTGTCCCTGAGTGTCCTTGCTCTCTTCCCATCGGTGACGGTCTTTCCTTTACAAAGACGAACGTGTGCGCAAGTTGGCAAATGGAAGGACGGACGACGTGGCTGATGGGGAGTGAACGGCACGAGTGGGCTTCGGTTTGCCAAAACAGGGTTGGGGGCCGCGCCAGGGCGGGCGGGCTTTGAATGCAGCCACAGGCCTGTGTCCCTCGGAGTCGGGGTGACCCCCAGAGGAGGCATGACACCTGCCCGCAGAGCTCAGGGACCGGCAGGCATGAGGCCAGCGGAGCAGGAGGGAAGATGCTCTTCGCCAGCCCGACGCTTTGGAAATCCGTGACCACGCATCCCCCGAAGCGTCGGTGACCCAGAGCTCCCCACTCGGACGAGCAGCTCATGGACCCCCAACTCCTGAACAATCACCCAGAACTAGTGCTTGAACTTGTACAGGAGCTTTCTCAGGATGTGAGTTCTCTGACAACAAAACCCGCAGTCCTCTCTTGGAAGGCCGGTGTGCAGACTGTGTCGGAGACCTCGCACGCGTATGCACCTCGGTCATGGCCGTCTTCCTGCAGGCACAACGCGGGCACCGTCGTGGGACAGACGTGGACACAGGTGAGGCAGCCACGCATGCACCAGGAATGTCCGGGATGCCGCACGGGGTGCACGAGCTGGGGGGAGAGGCTGAGGAGGGTGTCTGCAGCCGCCTTTCCCACTCGTACATGTGAGCCGCGCCAGGTGCTGTGGCCCCGTGCCTGTGTGTGTGTGTGTGTGTGTGTGTGCACGTGTGAGGGCACGCAGCTGTGAGAGCACACAGGTGTGCGCGTGTATGTCTGAGAGCGTGCGCGTGTATGTGCAGGAGGTGTGAGTGCAGGCATGCGTGTGTGTGCACACCGAATGTACCTACAGATGCGTAAGCACAGTCTCAGCCGTGATGCTGGTGGGTCTACAGCAAGAAAGAGGTGGGTCAAAGCCAGGGTTCCCCTCTGACCTCACGGTCAGGTTGTGTCCCCTGGGCATGGGGAGGCCACTGAGAAGTGGACACTGGAAGAGCGAGGAGTGGGTCCATCAGGAGCCGTCACGGGGTGACAAGGGTCCTGGCATCTGTGTGTGGAGCCAATGAACCAGCAGTGGAAAGGATGAGTGAAAGAGCCCACCAGTTCTGAGCTCCAGCCTTTCCTCTCTGACCTGCTGAGGCCCCCAGTGTCACCCCCCAGGCCCCCAGGGCCCAGGTCCATGCTTCAGAGCCTCCCACGAGCCACCGGTCTCCTGCGTGTCCCCCTCCAGCTGGCACCGGAAGTCCCAGAGCCCCGTGTCGCTGTCCCCCCAAGCCTCCCTCCATTGTCTCTAAGACAAGAGCCCAAGCTGCACGTAGCACTAGCTGTCCTCTTTGGTCTGGCCCACTGGGCGTCCCTCCCGGCCACTGAGGAGCACAGGTCCCCAGGACACAGGTGGCAGTGCAGACCCTCGTTCCTCTGTGAGCCCAGAGACCTCAGTCCCTCCTCCGCACACAGGCGATGGTGCTGACGGTGACGGCGAGAAGGCCGGCTTCCCAGACCCTTCCCATCTGCCGCCCGCACCCTGAGGCCACGCAGCCCCCTGACCACGTGTCCCCGTGCCGTGTGGCTTCCGTCCGGGCCTCACCACCAGTCAGAGCCACCTGCAGGACAAAGGCACGTGGGCTCCTGAGCTCGGCTCTGACCCGCCTCCCTGGCATTGATCGCTTTCTGTTTGTGATGATTTAGGTCCACGTCCACGTCCACTTCCCTCCGGCTTCGTCCTGTCCTTGGCGCTTCAGAGAAGGACTGAAATGTATTTTTGCTCGGAGAGTCCTGGGCATTCCAGCAGAAGCCAACGTGGGAGAAAACTCCTGGTCCCCTTGCCCCACACGAGCCTGCCCTGCACTCCAGGACCCTGTGCCCCCACCCGATCCCCTGAGGGCCCGGCACGGAACCCACCCCCACGGCTAGCAGCCACAGGAGCTCTGAGCTCTTCCTGGATTTTGTCACCGAGGGCTTCCTGCACCTTGAAGACAAGGTCCTCCCAGCCCCCATGACCTGGACCCGTCAGGTAAGAGAGGTCCGATGGGACCACGGGACAGGTGGTGTCCACTTCCAGCACGGTGATCGTAGGGCCGCCCAGTGCATCGCTTCGGACAAAACACACCAACGACCAGAACTTGTCCTTCGCAAGGAGAAGACCTGTTGGGTTTTGATCCTGGCTGAACTATTCACTTTGTGTCAACTCAACCAGTATAATCCCACTGGGCTGGGCAGGAGGGGACCTCCGTCATTGTCCCTGAGGGGGCCGAGGGCAGGCCGAGGGCAGGCAGCCCCAAAACGGGCCACCTGGGCCTACGGTTGTTCTCAGTAACAGTTACTGAAGGGACAGCCATGTGGGAAGGGTCCTCAGCCTCTCCTCTGTCCCCCTGGGAGCAGGAAGGAGGTGTCCCAGGTGAGGGCTGCCCTCCGTGGCAAGCGGGGACATCCTTGTCGCCAGGGCAGGACATTCAGAGCCGAGAAGGCCGTGTGGACACCCCCGGAACCCGTGTGGAATTCCTCACGACCGGAAGCTCCCCAGGTCGGAAGCCCCTTGTCCTCCAGCTCCTCGCAGGGTCCTTGTCCGCTCTCCGCACAGCCCGCACACCGCCTGCCATGGGCCAATGTCAGGTCGGAAGGTCATTGCTGGGCCTCTGAGCACGGCAAGTAAAGCTTCGTGTTTCTCCTGTTCATCTGTCTCACGTCCACGTGATTCCCCGTCCTGCGGGAAGACCCCATGGTTAGAGGAGGACGTTTCCTTCCCTTCCTTTCCAAAAGCCAACTTTCTCGACCTAATTTCAGCCCTTGTAGATCTTTAGATCATCTGACAACGTTGTTCAATGCTGCGACTTCAGTGTGAGCTCCTCGGGGACGTCCCCAGGCCTGGCCTTTTCTGCCCTGGACCCTAGTGTTTCAGGACGTGTCTTCCCCTGTCCCCACGTGCCTCGCTGTGTTGGAGGGAAGCCATTAGGGACCAGCAGGACTAGCTGCACAGAAGCCTCCGCGGGGCCGTCAGTCCCACCCGCTACCCCAGTGTCCCAGAACAGTTCTACAGGACTCTCCTCCACGGCTGCCAGCCCCAGCCAGCCACCCCGCGGAGCGCCTCTCAGGAGGGCACACGGCACGTCCAGAGGGGGTAAGGGACTGCGGCGTAGACCCAGGTGACCATCACACAAGTCTCAGCCCCTGACCCGCTGGCAGGTGACGTCCACGCAGCTGGACGGCAGAGCTGACCTCAAGTCTGCTCGCGTTCCCCGCTGGGACCGCGGGGTGCTGGGTTTCTCAAATGCGAGCCCGGGATTTCTGCTAATACTGAGTCTCTACAAAGCACTGGATGAACTCTGAGTATAGTATGTCCCAAATACATCAGACATGCACACTTTCTAAAAATGTGCTGTTTCTCAGGAAGCCACACTCATCCGGGTGCCAGCATTTTGTCTGAAAGTAACTTTCCTGGTCTGAGTGTCAGGCTGCCGTCGCATCCCCGTGGAACCCCCAAAAGGAAGAGCCTGGCCCCAGGGAAAGGGGTGCCCTCTGGGAGCCCTGGGGTGGGGCCCAGGACGGGGGTGACTCCCGTCACAGTGGGTTCGCCCAGGCCTTCCAGGGACCCCCAGACCCACGCTCCCACCGACCCTTCAGTGCTCGCACTTGGAAAGACAGGTCAGCCCCGGCCAAAGCAGCTTTACTCCCCTAGCCATTGGGCGTCAGCTCCGAGACCCTACAAAGGTCACGGGTGGCACTGGTTGGCTTTTCGCTGTGGGTGTGGGATCCTGGGACGGGGTCCCTCCTCAAGCAGCCCTGCTATCACCCCAGCACTTCCCACATCTGCTTCATGTTCCACCAGGAATTTCTTTGTCTCCCTTGGAACTTCTTGCCTGTGTTTTCCTTATCGGGAGAGGAGGGCGTGGGGGCTGCTCTCCGGGAGAAGGCGCAGTCCTGCTGGAGCAAATGCGGACGAAGAGAAGAAGGGAGAGAAGGGGAAGGGAGACTGTTTTCACGTAGCAGAAACCCGAGAGGCTTGGATGCGAGACCGTGTCTGCGTCTCCGCGAGACAGCCGGGAGGGAGGCTGGTCGGCGGCGTCCTCGCCAGCCAGAGCTGCCATGGACTCGTGCCGGGCTGAGCACATTCCTGCTGAGACGCACAGCCTCAGAGGAGGCCAACCACGGAAACCCTTCCTCCCTCGGCGTCCGCAGGAGCCCCGTGCCTGTCTCCGGCTCGTGGTGCAGACCCGCCGGGGTCGGCGTGTTGAGCCCTGCCTCCTGCACACGCCTTACTCGCCAGACCCCGGGACAGGCGCCTGTTCACCATCTAGGCAGGAGGGAATAACGGCCCCAGCGGCAGGCCCCAGGGGCCCACCGGGACCGGCATGTGGTCGGGCGGCCTCTGAAGGTCGAGGTCCTTTTCTAGAAGGGAAGGACAGGAGGGGGTGACTGTAGCTGGCTTCTTTCTCCTCAACACACACGCCTTCTCCTTCTTCCTGGCGGGGGCAGGGGCTCCGCCTGGAGGACCTGGACGGGGGACGCTTGCTCGTGACGGCATCCCGGAGGCTTGGCACCAGCCCAAGGGCGTGGGAGCCGCCCGGCCGCTGACGCTCGAGCGGGCACGGAAGTGCAGGAGGGTTTATACGGCAGCAGCCGTCCAGGAGGCAGGTCAGAGTCTTTGGGCCTCAGACCCAGCTGGGGGGATGCTGAGTACGGTGCTGGACGCGTAGTGAAGAGCCCGATGACAGAGTGTCCCGCTCACAAGGTCCCAGAGAAGCAGCTCGTGCGGATGTCGCCCTGATGGGCCACTTATTCTCTGCCGGTTCCGCCGTCAGAAGGAGAGCACTCGCCATCCTGGGCGTCACGCTGGTGGCGGCCTGCGCACACGGCCTCTTCCCCTTCCTCCGGAGAGGCCAGGACCTCCTATGGGGTGAGTAACTAGTAAATACCGTCTCCGGCCTTGGGAAGCCGCTGTCCACAGCCACGGAGGCAGACAGTGGCGTGGCGGCCCTGAGAGCCAGGCGAGGCGCGTGCCGTGCTTCCTCCTGTGTCCCGTGAAGGGAGCCGTGGTTCTGGAGGGTGGACGGGTCGCAGCTCGGTCCTGTCTGAAGAGTAATTCGGGGTCTCTACCCACAAGACTCTCCATTTCACCTGCTTGACTATTTGAAAAAACTGTGTTTGGGAGAAATCACCTGGTCCTTTTCTGGGCACGTGTGTGTCTGGGACACGGGGAGCTGCAGTGTCCAGTGTGGTCGGGGGTGGGGCGGGTGCTTGCAACGTCACACCTCAAGCTCTGTGTCTCTTTGGCAGGAAGAAAGAAAGAAAGAAAGAAAGAAAGAAAGAAAGAAAGAAAGAAAGAAAGAAAGAAAGAAAGAGAAAGAAAGAAAGAAAAGGCACCAAACACGTTGAAGGCATTTGCCTTGAGCAGAATGTCGGAGGTGCCTCTGGCTGGCCCCCGGGGACGCACACTGTCCCCAGCAGGCTCCTGCGTCCCCGCAGCCCGGCGGGGCTGTCTACAGACTCCTCAGGAGTGGGAGGACCCTTGCGCCGACAGCCCCCGTCCCACCCCTGCTGGGCCCCACTTCTCCCAATTCCACTGGACTCGGGACTCCGTGACCATGTGGAAAGTAGCACCGACGTCCCTCACAGACCCCCGTGCCCCTAAGAAAGCGCCTAACGTGTCCCAGGCAGCAGGAAGCCTGAGGCGAGCGCTGGGCTCAGAGAACAGGGGTCTGCATGTGCCCCTTCCCTCGCTGCGCCTGCCACACGCCAGGGCTTGGGAAGTCGTCCGTCGCGGGGACCCCTGACATGCCACGCTGTGCCGAGTGCCCTGCGTCTGGACGACAGCAGGAAAGGACACCAGACGCGCGTTTCAGGCGCCGCGGGGAAGATGGGCTCATCTCGCCCACATGAGCCCGCGGTCCCCATGCTGTTCGACAGCTGTCCTGTGAGTTAACTAATCTGTCCTTCTATCGGATAGTCATCAAGGCCCCCCTGTGTACAACCGCGGTAACACGAGTTAGGAGTCACGTGGCTGTGGTGGCAGAGTTGTCGTGGGTCGGCGGCGCCCATGGACCGTCACGCACAGGGTCAGCTGTGGATGTCACAGTCCACAAATTGGGGAATGTGATCTCTGCGCTTTGCCGGAGCCCCGCACGCCACCGCCCGTCGCAGGGCTCGACTCGCGCCCGCCGGACTCGGAGCCGGCACAGCGATTGCGCACAAGGACGCGTCCCGTCAGGTTTTATCCGGGGCTGTGGATGCCGCGTCGCGGGTGTTTTAGCGTCAACGGGAGCATTTTGAGACTGGCTTGTTAACCGTTTACAAATACTCATTTGGAGAACATTTCTCTCACTGTGTCCGACCTCACGTTCGTTGATAGAGGACAGTGTTTTCCAGGCCGACCACCAGCTCACCGCAGTTCCGCCGAAAGATCACTGTCACGGGTCACGTTTCTCGGCCCCCAGTTCAACTCACGATGCTGCTCTGTGTTCTCAGGGGTTTGCGTTCTTATCACAGCGCTGGGGTCTTCGTGGAGCTGGCAGCCGGGAGGTGGGGCTGCCGGCGAGCTCGCTGCTAGGCCCTCGCCCCGGCGTGTCCAGTCTAGGCTTGGCCTTAGGAGGGCTCCAGAGGCCCGCGTCCAGGGCCCAGTGACCCCCGGGAGGGCCCCAGGAGCCCGAGGTACAGCCGTGTCCAAGCTCACTATCCTTCCGGGTCCTTCTGTGAAGCCCCACACACAGGACTGGAGACTGGACGGGGGACAGTCGAGGACACACGTAGGTCCTGGACATGCACACCTGACGGTCAGGCTGTGGCCCGTAGTGGTGTGGTGGGGGGCGGGAGCAAGGCCAGGGCACCCACCCTGCATGTCCGTGCTGCTCGAGTCTGGCTCAGGAGAAGCTCCAGAGTTAGGATACCTGGCTCAGCTCAGGGAGGAGCAAACGGAGGCAGCCGGAGGTTCTGGGAAGGAGTTGGCCGTGTTTGTGGACAGACATGCGCGTGGCCGTGTGGGTCTATGAGAGCAAGGCTGAGGCCCTTCTGCGGAGCCTGAGGTCCTCACAGAAGCCGTGTGCTCGTAAGCATGGAGGGGACGCGTGTGCACTGTTTGTGCAAAGCCGAGACTAACGCACAGGCCTCCTTACGCAATGGTTCCCACCAGTTCCAGCCACAGCCAAAAGGAATCCGTGGGAAGCAGAGACTGGCCTGCAGACCCGGACGTCTGGGCCCAGCCGGGCGGGGACGCACCGAGCGAGGAACACTGGCCGACTTCATTCCTGGTGATTGGGTTTTGGCACACGGGTCAGGCACGTCAGGATCCCAACACAGAGCTCCAAGTAAACCAGCTCTGCGGTCCGTCCGCAGTGACCCCGGGGCCTGTGTGGGTTGTGGTCCCAGGGGAGGAAGACTCCAGCGTTCGTGTGCTGAACAAGGGCTCTTCGGAAACAGCGGACGTGCGGCTCTTTCGCAAGTGTGTGCTCACCCGCCGTGGGACCGGAGGGTCAGAGTATCCGGGGCGCCCAGCCCGGCCTCTGGACAAGGGAAGGGCCGGGAGGGTGATCAGATGCCCATGGCCAGGGTCTCCACCTTTCTGCCTCTGTGACGACGTTTCCGTAAAGGCCCAGAAGCGCTGGTTCCCAGAGCTTCAGGATAGGGAGCCCAAAGATCCCCGCGTGCCACGGAGCCGGCCACACAAGCCACGAGGACAGACGCATGTTTGTTGTGGGCCTTGCCCCACACGTCTCTCCCTCAGGCTACTGGTCTGCACCCTTGAGTGAACCGGTAAAGGCCGAGCTTCCCTGAGCTCCCTGGGCCCCTCTGGACAGCTAAGGAGCTGAGGAGGGGGACCTGGAACCTCCCCGGGGCAGCCTTCGGCCAAAAGGGCAGGTGCCGGCCGGGGGCTTGTGACCCTGAGTGTGAGGCCACCTGGGGTGGACCGGCTGGAGTGGAGATCTCAGCCGCCCAGCGTCTGCCCGGTGTTGTGTGTGGGGCCAGCTTCAGACGGGCTCCACGACGGCCTGTGTCCGGAGCCCTGCGAGGCACCTTGGGGCATGGGGAGGCGGTGGGAGTGGGCAGAACCCTGTGCTCCTTGCACTGCGTGGGCAGCTCTGGGTTGGGGGGGTTCATGCCTCCTGTGAGATGTGGAAATAAGGCCCACGGGGAAGCCGGCCCGGACCCCTCCAGATGGGGCTCAGGGGCCATGGGCTTGTCGCTGCCTCACGCTGCCCTTGGAGGACACTGAACATGGCAGAGGTGTCCGCGCTCGGACAGGGTTCACCGTGCCGTCTTGTTCCACAGGACGCAGCGGAGACCCTCCTGTCGTCAGCGTCGTGGAGGAGACCAGACGCATGGTGGACCGTGCCATCTACCACACCGTGAAGAGGTAGGTTTTCCGCGGGGGACACGGGAGGGCAGGTCACTAGGGGCCGGTGCCCGGGCCTCGCCGCCGGCCTCGCCATCTCCACCTTACCAATCGGGAACTCCCGTGTGTTCACTCACTCTCCTGGTTTCCAGGGGAAGATCCCGAAGGAACTGATATTCAGTCCCAAACTCTGTCTCTAGCGTAGCCCAGAGCAAACCACGGTGATCTCACCATGACGCGCATCTGCGGTCTCGGAGGCGGGAGTGGGATCCCGGCGGTGGACGGGGGTCCCGGGACAGGGGGCTACTTGTCTTGGGGCAGGAGGGAGGACCCGAGACCAGAGCGGAGGCGGAGGACACCGCGGGACACAGACGTTTGGTGCGGGACAAGCCCACCCATCCTTCTGGATTCAGTCATAAGAAACCCCTTGGCTTTAATACATAATTGACCTCAGTATTGAGGACATGGTGGTCTCACATGAGATGTTTGTAAAGCCAACAGAACAGCTAAAGAGCGGGTTTTGTCCTCACAAGCTCATCTCGTTGGTGGCTGACTAATGGTTACAGATGCTCTCGCTGGGGACGGTGACATCCACATGCGGTCCCGGGAGCCAGATCAGCAGAGATCCGGGCCCAGGGCGATACCTGCCCATGCACTCATGGACCCACACTTTGTTTTTACAACAGACCCGTCCTCAGTCCGCTTGCCGGGGAGCCTTCCTGCAGGCCGTGCACCGCTGAGCATGGCTGGTCCGCAGGGCCCCCGCGGCCGTGGGCGGGCCACATGGGGGACCCAGGCTGCAGGCCCTGCTCCTTGGCGGCTGCCACCGCGGGGTCCTTCTCCTCTGGAATGGCGGTGGGTGCAGTCACACAGTCTTACTGTCGCTCCCTCTGACGGTTCTTTCCCATTCTGCTTCATCGTGCCTACCAGGGAGGCAGCATCTGGAGTCCCCAAGGGACGTCCTCCTACGCCTGTGGTCTCTGTCGCCTAAAGCTCCTACCCCTTCCCGGACCCGCCACTGGGCACACTGACCACGGGGGCGTGGGACCCACACCGGTGTAGGGGAGGGTCCGCGCCCCTGTCTTTTGCCCTGGAGAGGAGGGCGTCCGTGCTGTGCGGGAGCTAGGGCCGTTCTACGGAGGGAGAAGCCACCTCTGCCTCCCGTGCTGCCCCTTTCTAAGCAGACTCCACGCCCAGCGTGTGGCTTGGACTCGGGACCCTGAGAACGAGAGTGGGGGCTCTGCTGACAGCCCACCAGGTGCCCCTCAGAGCGGCCCCTTTCAAAGCATCCTTGAGGGTGGACGGGAGCAAAGACAGTCAACGCCCTTTGTCTCACGAGGTGTTGAGAAATAACCCAGAGCCGTGGAGACTGTCCCCCAGTAGTATCTGCCCCCGTGCGGACGCCATGCTGGCGTCTTGCAAACTTTTCCATGACCCCGTCCTTCCAGGGACCACGGTCAGACCATGGATCTGACCCGCAGGGCTGGGACCACATCCGTTTGTCCCCATCCTGCTCCCCGGGGTCGGCGGCCGCCCCCATGACTCTGGGCTGCGGGTGCGGCCCTGCATGTGGTATCCTCCCGGCAACGCTAACCAGGTCCCTCGAGGTCTTCCTTAGGACTCCCGGGCTTCTCCCTGGATTCTGAGCTGAGCTCTGCCCTCGGCCAAGGTGTCACCTGGGGAGGGGAGGGCGTCTGCCGTCTCAGGGCCCCTGACCCGGCGGTCTCGTCCACGGGTCTGCCGGCGAGCGGAGGCTGGCCTGAGTCTCCTCTTGCCGTTGAACTCTGAGGACAAAGAAATGGGTAACTGCCCTTGTCAGGGCCACGGGGCCCCTGCTCATGAGGAGCAAAAGCGACGAAGGAAGAAGGCGCCGCGTCTCAGTCCTGCGGAGTCTCCTCGTGCAGAGCGCCAGCCCTGCGCCGCAAGAATGAGGCTGCAGATGTGCTTCACCCTCGGTTTTGCGATGATGGACGTGGAAACACAAAGACAAGAGAGCCGATCAAGAAGGCCACCGGTGAGGTCTTCTGAGGTTGTTTCCAGACGTTTCTCCGAGAGACCTTCGAGACCAGCATCGCGCAAGGAGGCACTGAGGCTGCAAAGCAAACTCACAGTTCTCTGAGGTCCTTACGGTTCGAATCTGGGAGACGCGGCCTCCGGAGGACCCGGAGACGTACTCTGGGGTGGGCGGTGCTTATGGGGGCAAGCCCGTGGCCCTCCTCGCTCGCCGGGGAGGACGCTGACCGGTGGAGGGGAGCAGCCGCCGTGGGTCCCCCAGGGCAGGGCAGGACAGGTGCGGGGTGCTGGGCTGCAGGCCGGAGAAGTAAGCCGCGTGCTGGGCCACCAAGCTCATGCCCGTCTGAGCAGGGCAGTTGCCGCCCCGCGTCCCCAGCAGCCTCCCTCGTGGATCCACCTGGCCCATGAGCTCCTGACCTCATGTCCCAAGCTGCCCTCCCCCCCAAAATGCTAAGATCTGTTCCCCTCACATGTAATTGTGTCTCATTTAGGATTAATGAACTAGTGAGCCATTGCTATTTGCTTACTAATCATAGAATGAGTTACTACATTTCTTTCTTTCGTAAAGAGTTTACTTATGTATTTGAGAGAGAGACAGAGCGAGCACAAGCAGGGGGCGAGGGAGAAGCTGAGCAGGGAGCCCGATGCGGGGCTCAATCCCAGGACCTTGAGATCATGACCTGAGCCAAAGGCAGTAGCTCAACCGACTAAGCCCCCCAGGTACCCTGGATTTTTACATTTCAATAAATAATTAAATGTCAACAAGAATCCCCAATAATTATTTATTATTTATGAAATAATAAATCCTGCAATTTCTCAGTATTTCTTATCGTGATCATTGAGAACTTCGAAAGCACGGTCCACGGAGCGCATGGTGCCTGCTTTTCTGAATTCTTCTAAAACCAGAAGAATCCAGTCTGTGGGGCGCAGTGGCCCCAGATGGACCGAACACCTTTAATGTGTTCACTCCGCAAACGTGCGCGAGCCCTGTGGCCCGGATGCAGGAGACCCCCTGGGTGCCGTGGGGCCGCCTGGAGGACGAGGGAGCGACTTCGGCCCTGCTGGTTCAAAGCAGAGAGAGACGGACACACAGGGAAGCAGACGGATGGAGGCAGACGGAGGGGAGAAAAGGCAGAGGGGGAGACCCAGAGGGAGAAGGAAGAGTCAAGAAAGGAAGATGCCGTGAACTGACCACGTGACCCCTTGTCCATGGCCAGCACCCCGCGTGCTCGGGGCTGTTTCCACATACGTTTTGGGCTGTGACCCCACGCGCTCAAGGTTATGACCCCGGACTCAAGACAGTGGTGCCACCTCCAGGGCTGTGACCCCAGGGGAGGAGGCCACCAGCTCGGGGCTGTCACCTGTGTCCTGAAGACCGGGACCCTACGTGTTCAGGGTTGAGACCCCACTCTGTCAAGGCCGTGACCCCACATGCTCGGGACTGGACCCCACTTGCTCGAGCCAAGACCCCACGTGCTGGGGGCTGGGATCCCTCGTGTCTGAGCTATGAGCCCAGACAGTTGGGGCCGTGACCCTGTATCCTCAGGGCTGTGACCCCATATGCTCAGGACCATGGCCCCATTTCTCAGGGTGTGACCGTGTGGGCTCCAGGCGGTGGGGAGACCCATCCCCCCTCAGGGGCCGGAAGGTGCTGGCCGCCTGCCCTGGTGGGGAGGCCCTGGGGGTCCGGGTGCAGGACGGCACTCAGAGCAGTCTCCGGGAGTGTGGGCCTGACGTCCTGCAGCAGAGCAGGGGGCCACGTTCGGGGGCTGCGTGCTGGGACGGACTGGGCGGAGGGGCTGCGCTGCCCCAGGGCTCACCAGATCTGCCCTGCTAGGCGGGGGGAGATGCTGGGTCTCAGGATCAGGGGTAGGCAGTTACCTGGGCTCTGGCCTGGAGGTGCTGCAGGGAAAGGGCCCAGGTGAGTGAGTGGACGGGGAGCAGATGGGAGGCCCAGAGGTGCCCACGTCAGGGAGAACCCCTGCCGGCTCCCCGTGGGTCCCCAGACGCTCCAAGAGAGGGAGGGTCCTGGGTGCCTCCTCCGCTCACTGCCTTGCCTCAAGGACTGTTTCCCCCTCACGCTCCCAGGACGGGCCTGTGCCTAGCCGGTGTGCACGAGCGGCCCGAGCGGCCCGTGTGGGCTGGAGAAATCGTCCTCTGGCCTCGATGCCTCGGCAGGGCAGGAGGCGGTGACGCTGGGCAGGCTTGTACCAGTCTCCATGGCGCGGTGCTGGGGGCCACCACCGGTCTGTCACGGCTCTCATCGCCCGGCACCAAATCCTGCCTGTCCGCCGTCAGGCTGTTTCCACATTCGCGGCTTGCTGGGGGCTCAGCGCGTGTGCCGCCCGCACCCCTGCTCCTGCGTCTACACCCGCCCTTGGTCCCGTCCGCTGTGGACGTGAAGACGGCTCTGGCGGTGCCCAGCGCAGAGAGGACCGAGGATGCTTGGTGACATCAGGAGCAGATGCTTCTGTGTCCTGGGCACCAGGGAGACGGTGGAAACCCAGACGGGCTGCGAGGCCGTCATCACGCAGAGGACGCGGAGCCAGCGAAACCCACCTTCCCGTCCGAGCTCAGAGTCAGATCTTCTGCGCTGCAGATGAGAGGGCGAGAGGGCAGGTCTGCCACTGTTAATAGCTCACTGACCTCCTGGAGCTGAGGCCTCGGGACGGTCTGCAGCCGTGGCCGGTGGTGCGGACCCTGAGCCGTGCAGGGTCCCCGCCGTCCTCACGGGGCGGCTTTGGGGGAAGGTGGCTGCGGCGAAGGCCTCTGTGGGGAGACCCACGTGCCCAGAGGGACCCGGGCCAGCAGCTCTGCCGGCAGCGTCACCAGCCTGCCGTGGCCAGAGCCGCCGGCCCGGCACATGGGTTCCCGGTCAAGGGACCACCCATCCGGAGCCCAGGCTGGGGCAGGGCAGGCAGGGAAGAGCCCAGAGGGAATTCCCGTTCACAGCCACAGCGCCTGGCGTGGTAACCGGCAGACCCCGATGGAGGAGTGGGCCGCACAGCCTCGCTTTGGTGCCTTGCGGTGCCCTGGTCCGCAGGAAGCCGGGGGAGCCCTCCAGGCTGGAGTCCCCACGGTGAGGCAGGAGCAGCCTGGGCCCCGGAGGAGCTCTCTGCTGGGGACGCCCCTCCGTGGGGAGCACGAGACGGTCTGCCACCAGCCAGGGCAGGTCTGGGCCACGGCAGGGCACTGTGGCCGCAGGAGCCCAAGGCAGGGACGGGCAGGAGAAGGGGCTGGTGTCCTCTGAGCTCCAAGCTGGGCCAGCCCCGGTCTGGATGTGAGGACGTGTCTCGTCAACCTGCTCACTACAGAGACTCCCAGGGCTCTGTCTCGGTTCTGTCCTTGAGCTCTGGGCTCCCGTCCCTGCACGTGTGTGCACACGTGTGTGTACACACCATCAAATGAGCACACGTGTGCGTGCACACCTGTGCACACAGCGTCACAAGGGTGTAAACAAAGTCCGTAGAAGGGCTCCCTCCAACGACTCCTGGGACGTGCGGACCCCGGGGTGTGGAGGCGGCATGGCTGCGTCACGTCCTTCCCAGCAGGGAGCGCCGCTGGCCTGTGTCGGACCCCGGGGAGCTGGAGTCGGGGCCGCCCATATTGCTGGGGAACTGGACACTACTGGGCCTCTCTGGGCTGGGCCGAGCTGGGGGTGCAGGGCTGTGGTCTCTCATGGAGGACCAGGTCTGTGTGGGAACCTCGTGGGGGCCTTTCTCCATGGGGGGCTGGGCCCAAATGCGCGTGTGTCCTGATGCACCAGGGGTTACTCTGGGGCGGAGGGGAGGGAAAGCCAGTGCCTGCTCAGGATGCAGAGGCCCCCACCCCGGGGTGGTCTTCAACCCCAGCTCTGTCTCCCTCATTCCCCTGGAGGACTGGGGTCTCAGCTTCGGGGCGTCCCCTCCCCTGCTCGCCTGTACCAGACATCTTCATGGCTCTTCTCGCAACGACCAGCCTGGTTTCTGCATGTGAACGTTTCTCCTGGAGCAGAGTGTTTCCCGGGCATGAGTCTGCGGCGGCAGTGTCTGTTGCCCCCGACTGGCGGCTGGGCCAGCAGGTTGCATGAGTCCGGCCGCGGGCGTAGGCCTGCTCCTCGCTCTCTGGAGGGGAGACCAGGAGACCCCTCGCACCTTCTCCGCGAGCGAGAGAAAGGAGATGGGTTTGCGCACTTAGAGCCATCGTGTCCGCTGTTCTGGGGGACCTGCGATCGTCTCCCATCCTCGCGGGAAGAAGCATGGCCTCGTGCTCAAGACGCTGGAGCCGCTGGATGCAAACCGGGCCTCGTGCAGGGCCTGCTTCCCTCCCCGTGCACGTCAGCTCACGTGTGCTGGGTGAGCGCTCGGGACACCTGCACGGCTCCCCACACACCAGAAGACGGAGGGAGTCGTTTACGGTGTTTAGAGACGTGATTCCACAAGTCCGCGTCCTGGGTAGGCACTGCCGATCGTAGCCACACTGAATACCGTCTACTGATGTTGCGCCCAGGGTCCAGACCTGCTTAAAGAGCCACGCGGACACTGAGTCGTGTCACCTCTGCACACGTGGGAGGCACGAACAGGCTCCACGGGCAGACGGGCTGACGGAGGCCCGCGTGGCCTACTCTGCCAGTGATGGATCCAGCCTCTGCGCCCGTGGGGACGTGGCCCCTCATGTGGCCGTGTCCATGAGGTCTGCGGCCTTGGGCTTCATCTCAGTGGTTCGTGCTGGGACGTCCGCACCCCAGGCTGCGGCCCGGAGACCGCGATGCAAGAGGTCTGGGCCCCCGGGAGGCTCTGCTCACCGGCTTGTCTGTTGGCTGTAAATACGGAAGCACCAGCCGCCTTCACTGCAGACAACGTTCCAAGGGCCTTTGCAAAGTGGAAGCTAGGGCGCCTCCCCACACAGAGGGGAAGGGTTTGCTCCCTCTCGACGTGACAGAGGAGGGCTCCTGGGTGCCTGCTCCCCTGCTCCGAGGCCACCACACGGGCCCAAGGCCTCCATGAAGAGTGGGGTTCTCGCCTCCGAGGGCTGCTGGAGCACGTGGCCCCAAACCCAGCAGCTTAACGCAGCACCCGTGGTTCATCACACCATCAGGGATCACAGGCCAGCATGGACCTCGCTGGGCCAGAGTCGCCATCCGGGGACAGCGGTCCCCCTGAGACTCCGAAAAACCTCCCTTTCCCCTCCCTCCCAGCTCCAGAGGTGCCCGTGTTGCCCAGCGGGCCTTCCCGGCCTTCCCCGTCTTCAGGCGGTGACAATCTCTGACCTCTTTTCCTGTCCTCCCCATCCTCTTCCCCTCGTAAGACCCGGTGGTTGTGTGGCCACGGGCAGGGCTCGGGAACAGCCCCTTTCAGCCTCCGCCGTTAGCCGTCCCAGTCCTGCCTGCCGCCGAATGCCCTTGCCGTGCGGCCAGGCCTGCTCACGGCTCCGAGGATTCGGACACGGACTTCTCTGGGGGACTGTTCTCCTGCCCCACAGTCTCAGGGAGCCCCAGAAAGGCCGCGGCTGGCACTGCGGTGGCCCGTGTCTGGGGCCAGGGCCCCGTGTCTCTGCCGGCTGGTGTGTCAGCTTCTACCAAAAGTTCATGACGGGGACACCTGAGGGGCTCAGAGGGTTAAAGCCTCTGCCTTCAGCTCAGGTCGTGATCCTGGGGTCCGGGGATCGAGCCTCAAGGCAGGCTCCCTGCTCAGTGGGCAGTCTGCTTCCCCTCTCCCACTCCCCCTGCTTGTGCTCCCTCTCTCGCTATGTCTCTTTCTGTCAAATGAATAAATAAAATCCTAAAAGAAAGAAAACTTCACGGTGACCTAGTGTCACGTGCACAAGGCAGCGGTGACATCCAGAGCTCTTTATGGAAGTTCTAGGCCACGCGCATCAGTGTGGACGTCAGGTTCACTCTGCCGTGTCCGCCGTGTCCGCCGTGTCTGTCGCTGGCTGTGCCCCTGAAGCCAGCTCCTCGGCTCTCCATGAGGGAGTGCTGTAAACTGAGCGTAATTGTGGCCTTTGGCAGCCGAGGTTTTCAGGGGTGACACACTGAGGTGAGTGGTTCTCGGCACAGCACCGGCCGCCCCGTTCCCTCGGTGCACATTCGGACTTCTTACTGATGCATGGTGGCCCGCAGGGTCGCAGCTGGTGGCAAGAGCTTGGCTGATTCTGCGAAGCTGCCCGCGACTTGAGCCGCACATCTCAGGGCTGCTGGAGGGGCTTCCTGCCACTCTGCCTGAGGCAGAGAGGGTCCACTCTGCAGCTCCACCCAGGCAGGGGCCAGCTCAGACCCCCGCCCCCGGGGCACTGGCCCCAAAGTGCCATGGGCAGGGGTTGGACGGATCCCCTGGGGCTGGAGCTGCTGGGATGCACGAGGCCAGGGACGCAGGGCGCTGGGGACCCAGCACGGTGCTTCCCGTCCCACCACAAAGGCTCTGTTGCCCTCTCAGGGCCGGTTCTCTGACAGGGGCTGGGGCTGGCCTGTGAGCACTGGCTCACCCAGGAGCTCCAGAGAGCTGCGCATGCAGGGCCCCTGGCTCACCAGCGGGAGCACAGCACAGGCGTCTAACTCGATGCTGACGAGGCTTATCTCCCCCAGGTCCTGTCGGGCTCACTACCTCTAGATGTGCCCGTCCTCGACCCCACATGGGGCAGGCCCTGCACATACTCTGCTGAAGTGAGTACTGGCTCCTTACGAGAACAGCCCCAGACGAATAACCAGCTTTACTTCTCCCCCTTGTGCCATAGAGACCTCAGCCAAAGAGGGGTCCCGTCTCCGTCACAGCTTCTGTCTTTCTCCAAACGCCCTGAGCCGACCAGCCGAGCCATATCCCGTGCGGCCGAGATCATGGAAGCTTCCGTGCAGGCCCTGAAGACGAGAGTCTCCGGGAAGCTCCGGGGATCCTGGCCTCCCACAGGTGAGCCCCCCGAGGTGCCCCCCCCAGCAGCGGCCCCGAGGGCAGAGCTCAGGCTGGGAGGGAGAAGCGCTCTGCCTCGCCTCCCTGCTCGCTCCCAGGCAGACGTGGTGGGTCTGTCACCGTTGCTCCAACAGACGTGGGATGCATCTGGGTTCGCTTGGGAGGTGACGGTCCCTCTGTGTTCCAGACTGAACCGGGGCGGCCGCTCGAGCCCCTGGCAGCCTGTGTCATGGCATCCAAGAGCTGCTGTGCCCTGGCGGTGAGACGGGGCGGCCAGGGATGGCGCAGATGGCGGGAGCCACGCGTGGGGCTGTGCGAGGGGTCACGTTCCTGTAGCAGCAGCCTGGGCAGCCGGCAAGGACAGCGAGCCCCTCCCTGCTGTGTGGCCGTGGCCTCCGTGACTTCCTCTGGGCCTCTGAGAACCGGTTTGCTGGACTCTGAACGGGGGACAGCAGTGGCTGCTGGCAGAGCGGCCGCCTCCGAGCAAGGCAGCCTGTGGGTGCAAATGGGGCGCGGCTGGCCGGACCTCGGGCAGTGCATGAGCCCCGCACGGGGAACAAGACGGGTTGGTGAGAAGCAGACTAACCCGGGCTTTTCAGCGCGGCGTCACGAGCCGCGTGGTCCCCAGGTTCCTGCCCAGAAAGAGCCACAGACACTTCGTGCCGACTTAGCCTTTGTTTCTTTTATTGAGTTTTATGTTTTTAATTTATTTCATGTTTTTATTTAAATTCTACATAGGTGACACATATGGGAAAATTAGTTTCAGGAGTAGAACTTAGTGATTCATCACCGACAACGCCCGGCGCTCCCCCAGCAGGGCCTGCCCGATGCCCACCCCTCACCCCTCCTCCAGCAGCCCCTCCCTCCGCCACAGCGTTAAGAGTCTCCTATGGTTCATTTCCCTTTCTCTCTCCTCCCCCATTCCCATAGGCTCATCTGCTTTTTTTTTAAGGTTTTATTTATTATTTGACAGAGGGAGACCCAGCGAGACAGGGAGCACAAGCAGGGGGAGTGGGGGAGGGAGAAGCAGGTCCTCGCCCAGCAGGGAGCCCAACACTTGATCCCAGGACCCTGGGACCATGACCCGAGCCGGAGGCAGTCGTCTAAGGACTGAGTCACCCGGTGCCCCATCTGTTTTGTTTCTTGAATTCCTGGTGCGCGTGAGATCACACGGGGTTTGTGGTCTTCTCACCGACTTACGACATGAGACCCTCCGGCTCCGTGCACTGACGGGGACGCTCGTTCTCTTTCTCTCCGTGTCAAACGGATGCGTCCTTCCCAGGGTCCCCTAGTGAAGCCCCCCCCCCCCCCGTCCCTCCTCGGTCTTCCTTACGGCTTTATCTCGAAGATCTGTACAACTCGTCCTGGAGAAGTGACCAAAGGTTCCTTCTAGGACCAACAGGGACGCATGCCGGCAGCAACGTGCTTGGGGAAATACATAAGCTTCTGGGCCCAGCCCGGAGAGAGCGGCGAGCAGGGAGCAGCAGTCCAGCTGGAGAGAGCCGGCCCGAGCTCCGGCGCGAACGCTGCCGCACCCCTGGCCGGCGGGGGCCGAGCTCTGCTGGCCGCCCCGTCTCACCGCCAGGGCGCGGAGGCTTGTCGGGGACGTGACCCCGCGGGTGCCCTGTCTCCGGGGGCCCGGAGCGCTGACCAGATTTGCTGAGCGGTCACAGCAAACACGGGTCTTAAGAGCCATGTCCTCGCATGGAGGGTGTGCGAGGCCGTTGTCGAGAGCGCTGGTTTGAAGGAGAAGGAAGCCCTGGCCCCGCGCGGACGCGTCTGACGTGGCGGACACCGTCTGCGGCCGCCTTGCCCCTCGTGGGGCCCCACCCGGGCTCGTCCTCACACGCGCTTCCTCCCCAGATGTCCTGCCGGAAGATGTGCTGAACACAGTCGCGAACGTGTCCGGATGCCTGCCCTACATGCTGCCCCCCGAGTGCCCGGACACCTGCCTGGCCCACAAGTACCGGCTCGTCACCGGCGCCTGTAACAACAGGTGCGCGTCCTCCAGGCCTCGGGGGTGGGGCCGCGGCGGGGGTGGGGCCGCGGCGGGGGTGGGGCCGCGGCGGGGGTGGGGCCGCGGCGGGGGTGGGGCCGCGGCGGGGGTGGGGGTGGGGCCGCGGCGGGGGTGGGGCCGCGGCGGGCGCCCGGGAGGCTGCTGACCGGCAGGGTCTTGTCCCACCACTGTGCGCCCTGGACCCCCACCTGCCCCACTGTCGCCAGGGGTGTCCCCGACCTGACCCAGTCCACTAGTGTCCCCTGAACGCTGCCCCACCCCTTCCACAAAGTGTCCCCTAGAATCGGGTTCTGGGAAGGCCCAGGAGCCATGGGTCCGACTGAGATCAGAACCCTGAGAAGGCTAAGGGCCAAGGAATGTGGCTCCATCGGGCCCGGATGTCAGTTGGGCCACAGGTGGAGGACGGCCACAGGACCCGTGACACAAGTCTGCATCAGAGCAGCCGCCAGGGGACCAGAGGGCAGCGCAGCTGTGGCTGTGCCCGCAGTGGGGGCCGGGGCAAGATGGCAGTCCTCCCTCCCTCCCTCCCTCCCTCCTGCCCTGAGCCAGGCCCCAGGACACGTGTTGGGGAACACAATAGCCCTGTCCTCCCGCAGCTGGTGAGTGGGATCCCTGGCCCAGTGGGTCCAGCATAAACAGGACTGGTTCCCATTTTTGTTACAAAGAGTTTCGCAGTTTGAAGGTTAGGTCCTGTGATGACCGTAGTCCTGGACTAAACAGAAGCGCAGAGCGCATCTCAGAATGACCCAGAATGGTGCCGGCCGTGTGGTGGTCACAGGGCTCACGGGGCTGGTCACAGGGCTCCCTGGACTGGTCACAGGGCTGGTCACAGGGCTCACGGGGGCTGCTGCCAATAGGCAGGGGTGTGCGGTCTCGTGTGTGGTTCAGGACAGAAGGTGATTCCTGAGCGAACGAAACCAGCCGGGATATGAGATTTCCCAGATGCCCAGACTTCCTTCCTGCACTTGCTGAAGCCGCTGCTTGAGCCAGGAGTGCGTCCCCTCTGCCCTCCAGCCGCCTCCCCAGGAGGGTCTGGGCCCCTCAGCTCAGGTCCCTTCGGCAGGGGCAGGACGTCCCCTGGCTCAGCCCTGGGGAGCCCCGTCCAGGGATCTTGTCCCTGCCCTTCCCTCGAGGCCCCAGCTGCAGACGGTGGGAGTCTTCTGTGCACACGGACACCCCGCTCGGGGCTGCTCCTGTGCCGTGTCTGTGCGACACATGCCACACGCGTGTGCTCTCGTGGCCTGGGTCCCACACGCTCGCAGGTTCTGTGTGATGCCCCCCGGCACGTTTAACCCCGGTGTGTTCAGATCGAGGGGCTAGAGACAGGACAGAGGTTTCTTCCGGACACGCATTTCCCCTGAGGAAGAGCACTTTCCTTCCGGAAAGTTCTGGTTGTTGTGTGACGTCTGCAGCACTGCCGGTCAGAGGGTCACCTTCTCCGTTTTGAAGGTTTGTCGTGGGCAGGACGCCGGGGTTGCCGCTCGTCTGAGCCGCGCCCGTGGTCACACTTCTTTGCAAGGTTTCCCAGGACTCGGGCTCCAACATGTTGGTCTTCGCCACCGTGTTACACTTCCTGCATTTTACTGAATGTCCAGCGACGCTTCTTTCTCATTTCTTGGGGGTTTGTCTGTTCCCGTCTCTCTTCTCGACTCTAACGCGGATGCACAGTGGCTGTTTTCCACTTTCTCTTCCTTCCTTAACCGTGTCACTTCTTAGCCCGTTGCTGCTTCCTGGCACGAACCACAGGCTCTGGCCCCACCTGTCGGCTGCCCCTGACGGGTGCACGCGGGAGACCCCAGGACGCTCGTGCGTCTGAGGAAACCTAGATGCTGCTGGGGTGGGTCTCCTGCATGAAACACACGGACCATAACACAGGCACGGATGACGCCAGGACAGGGAAGTTTCCAGAGTTCTTGGAGCACATGGCGTCCAAGCCCATGAGGGAAGAGCACAGCATCGGTCCAACCGCGTCCACCCGGGTCTGCGCCGCCTGCCGTCAGGGAGCTCCAGCCGCGACGGCACGCCAGGGGCTGAGTGTCCTCACGCTTCCGGCCGGTGGATGGTACATCGGACACGGTAGGAACCACACCAGGTCCCGGGACCACGTGGGGACCATGTGGGTCTGCAAGCCGTCCCCAGCCCCGCTGCCTGCGGGTGCATCCCCCAGCCCTGGGGCCACGTGGGGACCTCCCGTGGATGGGGTGTGGGAAGGATGCGCTACCACGGGGCTCCGAGCTCATTCTCGGCGACGCCGCCGCTCCTCCAGCCGACCCCACACACAGCCCCTGCGTGCCCACACCCGTCCGCAGCCAGGAGGACACCCACAGGAGCCACCCAGCCTCCACCGTGGACGTCCATCCACACTCCCCTCCAGCTGGACGTTGGACCTGCCTCTCTCAGCATCCGGGTGCTGGAGCCTCGGAGAGGAGAGCCTGTGCTTCCGAACATCACGGCAGAGACGGCTGTGTCCCTGTGACCTCTTGTCCAGAAAGGCTTCTGTCCGCTCACCCTGTCCGCTCCTGACCACGTCCTCCCCGCAGCTGAGAACCCAGTGGACAGGTGGTGCGGACCTAAATGTCGGTCCCACATTGGGCCGAGGATCTTCCGACACGACAGTGCGCTGGGTGCCTCGTGGGGAGGCCGCGCACAGCCCCCCGACGGCACCAAACGCCAGCCCCGGCACCGGCCACTCTCCCTCCAGGACTCCCGCCAGTCAGGCCGACTGCACACCCTTTCCTGGTGTCCACAAGGACCGGCGAGCCCCTGGGATCTCGGGACAGCCTACAGGCTACTGAAATGCAAGTCAGTCAGCAGAAAAGTCACGGCCTAAGCAGTTGAATGAACATTTCGTTATTTTTAATGGAGTAAATTTGCACCTCCCCCAAGCAGCGGAATTTCCACGACTTAAACCGACTGTAACGAATCCGACCATCGAGGAGAGCACACGGTTTCCCCATGCTGACTTCCTGCCGCTAACGAGATGCGTCGTGGTCCCGCGTCATTCCACAGATGGGGCCAGGCTGGTGTGCGGGAGCTCCAAGAAGGATTGATGACAGGATTGTCCCCCACCCCGTGGCCCTGCAGATGCCCCCATGTCCCCACCCCGTCTCCCGCTGGCAAGTCCCCCGGGGCTCCTGGCCGGGGCAGCGGTGACATGAGTGACTACGTTTCCCCGTGTCTGGAGCCTGCGGCCCCGCTAGGAGCAGCGCGTCTGTTCCATCTGCCCGATGCCACGCGGCGTCTCGCCCTCCGATGTGCAGACGTGTCGTGAGTGTGGCCGCGGTCTTGGCCGCTCCGGGCTCCTTTCACGGCCAGGCAGAGCTTCTCAACCAGACACGCTGGCGGAGGACTGGTCCACGTCAGCGACGTCCTCCATCCTGATGACGTGTCAAAACAAAGCAATGGATCTTTAGACGTTTATATTTTTGAACAATCCAAAAACTTGGCAAAGTCACATGGCCCGTCACAAATCTCTCGGATTTTGCGACTTAAATGTTCCAAGTGTCAACACGAGGGGTGTGGGGGGCGTGCTGGAGAGTCTAGACCCGACACGAGGGGTGTGGGGGGCGTGCTGGAGAGTCTAGACCCGACACGAGGGGTGTGGGGGGCGTGCTGGAGAGTCTAGACCCGACACGAGGGGTGTGGGGGGCGTGCTGGAGAG